CTCAGCCTCCTAAGTAGCTAGGATTACAGGTGAGAGCCACCAGCGCCCAGCACAAATGACACTTTCTGTAAATCCTTTTATTTAGACTTACATACTGCCAAGCATTCTATAAGAGTTACTTGGACTCAGGATCTGCCACTTCTGCAAAAGTACTCATTGCTCAGTTTTGACCTAATAGATGTAAGAGAGCCGGAGAGCTGGGATGAGGTCATCTGAGAAGAGCTGGTCCAGCCACACGTTCAGTTGCTCGTGATGTGACTGTGCTGAGCGTAGGGGGTGCGGGGGGCACAGACAGGGGTGAAACGCTACTCTGACTTCACGGGAGAGGCGCACAAACGAGAGGTGGGTATGAATTAAGTAGGCAGGTAGGTGGGTGGATAGCAATATGTATTTATGGAGACATTTGGTTTCTGGTCAGAGGACCATGGAAGCCCAAGGAGAAAATGGCTCATCTTGTGTGGACACAGGAAGGACTTTTTTGAGAGATGTAGCCAGCCGAGCCGTGAAGAAACAGGAGTTTGACAGGAATGCAGCATGGGTCAAGTTAGAGAGAAAGGGAGAGGGAGATTGGCCATGGGGGAACTTGCATTGTGGCGGTCTAAGATGAGACACAGGGCTGTGAAGCAGGGAAGGCGAGGGGCACAGGAGTCAGGCAGGGCTCAGTCTACAGAGTTGAGACATTCACCCAAGGCATTGCCTCCGACCTGTTAGATCAGGGCTCCCAGACTCGCCTTCGTGCAGAGACCTCTGCCGGACAAGCGGGCAACAGCACGGGGGAGACAAGGGAGAGGGGCCTGGTGTGAATGGAAACCGCTGGCCAGTGCCGGGCTGAGGCAGAAAGCCGAGCGTGGGGGCGTCATTGGAGATAGAACAGGACAACACTGCAGCTGTAGCTTACGTGCTTAGTGCCAGAACTTTCTATTAGCTGTCTACATTTCTACTTGAACAGAAAAAAACAATTCAAATACATGTTTTTTTCTTTCCAAATTAAGTGCTGCTCCATGGAGCAAGGTGTTTGCTTTCAGTTATTTTGATTTTCACAGTAGTCTGTGGTAGCAAGCAAATGCAGAATATTTGATATTCTTAGGAAATACAACAAAGGACAGTGAAGTGTTAGCAGGGAAGACAGTGGCCGGTATGTGTAGTGACGGTTGCCCAGTTCTGTGGATCCCAGACGTACGGTTAGTGGCCGGTATGTGTAGTGACGGTTGCCCAGTTCTGTGGATCCCAGACGTACGGTTAGTCGAGGCGCCTGGCGCCACCCACGGTCTGGTAAAAGGCAGGTAACGACTTCTTTCAGCCCCCGCCCTGGCTGTCAGGAGGTGAGGCGCCATGGTTTCTAGGCTATGGCTCCAGAATGGTCATGGGAGAGAACTCACAGAGCTGATAACTAGAGTGATGAGGAGCCTGGTCACCAGGCCCTGTGTCAGCAGAGAACGAGCACGTGGGACGCATGGCTCACGAAGAAGCCTACAGCTCCTGTGTCACGAGACTGCGTGGGCCAGGAAACAGGTTCCTCCGCCTGAGGCTGGCCGAAGGATCCCCTGCCTTCTGCTTCTCTGTCCAACCTCCAGAAAGTCATCTACATGCAGTGTGACCGCAGAATCAGCAACTCTATACACAGCAAATCATTACAGTAACACTCGATTCCAGCAACTTCAGCAAACTCTGCTCTGCTTACTTAGAAACAGAAAACAAGTGTTACCACTTAAATACCAGCTGCATGATGGCCACTCAGTTCATGAGACTATAAAAAAAATAACTCCCACAGCGATACTTCAGATCCCCTCTCCCCTCTCCTGTGCTGATGCTCCAGTCTTTCACCCTGAGACTTTATGAAACAGTTTTTATCCTTGCAGTTGAGACCTTTGGAGGCATAGAAGAATTCGGCTGGCCAGCCTCATGGAGTCAGCAAGTGGTGACACGGGCGCCCGAGCTAGGGTCAGTCTCCAGAAGTCCAGGTGCTTTTTCATGCATCGAGAGCCCCCACAGCTCCACTGCCCAAGGTTGGCTTTGCATCAGAACCATCACAAAAATCTCCCTCCTGTTTGGATCAAGCCCAGAGCAGAGTAGAATAAGCCTGCCACCTGCAGGGCACAGGGGCCAGCATCCCGTTCCCACACTCATTCCGGCAGCCAGCTCCCTGCCCTCTGGGAGCAGAGGCTGAGTCCCACACTCAGAAGGCAAGGATCCATCAGCCAAACACCAGAACAGGAAGTCTTATCAGCGCAGAAATGAACATGAGGAAGGGGACATTGGCCTAGGATTTCCTACCCCCACACAAAAAATACGCAGGTACATATTTTGCATCTGAGGTCCTTTTGGGTGTGACTTATAAAGATAACTTGTACTCATTTGCCTGTTTTTGAATAAAGGAGAGTCGTGCTCTGCTACTCTGCTGGCATATAAATTAAAGATAGGGCGGTATCTCATTGAAATTCTGAAGATGTGCAGATCCTACCCTAGGATTTCTCTCATCAAAAGGTTTTACTTGTGGTGCCAGTACTGACTTATTAATAAAGATCGTGCCTTTGATTATTTGTCTAATCAAGATTCACTGTCAGGTTAAGTTCATTAATTCTGCTGGTAATGGCGTGTACTGGGGGTGGAATTGCTCCTGAGTGAGAGAGAGGCAGGATCGAGGCTCCAACACCAGGACACAGAAGAGCACCAGGAGGCCGAGCTCGTGAACGGTCTGCAGGTCAAGGAGAAAGGGCCCGTGCTCTAGAGGTGGACGCTGTTGAGTAAGTGCTGAACGTTATAATTAAAGACACTTGCTCACAGAGGAATGGAAATGACAAGCATTCTCATTCTTCACAAGACCAGAGCCATTGTTTTCTAGGCACTGTGCCGGGCGGCTCTTCTTCGGTGCTTCTGAAACCTCGGCATCAGATTCAGGGTGCCGATGCTGAACGTGCCTGGGCCTGACTCTCAGGGACTGCATTTTAACTTTTTGTTGCTCCACTCACTGGTTCTGAAGTAACTATGATACAAACTAGTCCTGTAGAATCTCTCCTGGAGTGTCCAGAAAGAGACAGCTAAGTTCATCCTACCTTGTGGGTGTTCAGCACTGCATCACGGACAAACCCTCCTCTTCGCAGCCTCTTGCCCCTAAGTAGGAGATTCCAGAGCCTGTCATGACCACCGTGCCGTGTTGAAAGTAGACATGACAGCAGGCTGTGCCAGTGGCTGAGGCCAGGGCGTCACCTTGAGACCCTGCAACGCAGATCTGGCATTGCAGTGGATTATTTATCCAGGCGGATAAGAGATAAGAGAAATGGCAGCTATGAGCACCCAAGTTTGGAGCCTCAGTCCCTGGATTCTCACTTAGAAAACAGGCCAGACTCCATCAGCAGCAAGGAAAAATTACTTTCCTCCAAGGTCCTCTTTGATTCCTGGTGTAAGCCTCAGCCTTGTTAAGAACAAGCTGTCAGGGCAGCCTCCCCTCTCCCTGGGCTCACTGGGTGCTGTGTGCAGGCCCTGTGATCTGCGGGGCCGTAAAAAGTGGCCTTGGTGCTTGACGAGCTTACGGTGTGCACACTTAGGTGGGCGGGAAAAGCAGACGAAGTTGAATGCCTCATTCATTCATGCCATGCGCACTGTGTGCCAGGCACTGGGCTGCTGCTGGAGTTGAACGCATGAGCGGAAGGGAAGGAGACAATGGGAACACAGCAGGGAGGGGAGAAGCAGCGGGGAGGGGAGAGGTAGGAGGGAGAGGAGAGGAGGAGTGGAGCTGCAGGTGGGAGGGGAGGAGTGGCAGGAGCGCTGCACGGTTGAGTCCCAGCGAGTGGTACGTGGCGAATGCTTGGCATCCAAGTATGGCCTAGCTCTGAACACACCGCCAGTGCAGGCCCTGAGCCTCCCCTGTGCCACGCTTTCCAGGGCCTTCTACGTGGGAGAGCTGGGCGCGCCACGCAGGTGCTGTACGGACCAGGCAGTGGCGTGGGGTCATGGGTGAGGGGAGCGTCAGCCGCAGCCCCGCAGCCACCCCTGCAGGTGGGCAGGCATGAAGGCCTGCTACACAAAGCCGGATGCAGTGACTCAGGAGAGCCTGAAGTTGTAAATCTGTGAGGGCTATTTCTGTTGTTACCATTGCTAGAATTATAGAATCATTCTGGATCATAGTTGCATTTCTTACGATGCTGTTTATTCTGCTTATTTGAATACATGGCCTTTGCCTCATTCACTTTTGGAGCACAGGATAAAGGCCTGGAAGATATTTTCAAACTCAGTCTCCCTTGGCACATTACCTTGCCTACAGAGGCCATTAATGACTGTGGGTTGAATGAGCTGCATCATCCAACATGAAGAATGTACTAGGCAGTTGAGTTTAGGGCCCCCCTGGGCCTACAAACCTGAGATGTACCAAAAAAACACCCTTTCCTAACTGGGAAATGTTCACACAACTAAAGAAGAAAGGCGAGACTGGCCTGCACTGAATCAGGATGGGAAAGATCAGCCCCATAGACCAGGTGAGGCAGATGCCCCAGACAGATAACCCTCACATCCAAACCTGATGTTGTTCTTGTGAAAAGGACACTCATAGCCAGGCACCAGTGGCTCATGCCTGTCATCCTAGCTCTTTAGGAGGCTGAGATCTGAGGATCATGGTTCAAAGCTAACCCGGGCAGGAAAAGTCTGTGAGACTTGTCTCCATTAAACCACTCAAAACAGGAAGTGGTGCTGTAGCTCAAGTGGTGGAGCACTAACTTTGAGCTCAAAGAAGCTCAGGGACAGTGCCCAAGCCCTGAGTTCAAGCCCCACAGCCAACATTGGATATTGTAGAATCTACGTAGAATCAGTCTCATGCATAAACACAGAAAGCATTGTGAGCAATGGCACTGAACTTGGCTGTGGACCACATAGAAGGCATGACATTATCTTATAAGTAGATGAGAAAGAGCAAAGTCAAGGCCCACAAAACTACGGTCACAGCTAGGCCACAAGGAGTGGTGTCGGTACCTCCTAATCACCTCCCTTCCTTGCTTGCTTCTCCCTAGGTGGAATCGGCTGCCTGGGCCCTGACCGGGGCCAGGTTCGAAAGTGCCTTGAGGTGGTGGAGATCTACAACCCCGACGGGGACTTCTGGCGAGAGGGCCCCTCCATGCCAACGCCCCTCCTCTCCCTCCGAACCAACTCCACCAATGCGGGAGCAGTAGACGGCAAGCTCTATGTCTGTGGGGGCTTCCATGGAGCAGGTACTGCACCAGTCTTAAATGGTTTGTGACCTCTTTGGCATTGATCTTGACTTCCCTTAGCCAATTTAGCCAGCCTGGTTAGTAGGGCATCACTTTTAGAGCCCAGTGACCTTGGGCAACTGAACCACGTATAGCAAACACATCCCCAGCTATCCTACGCACTCAGTGGGTTTGAGTTTATGATGCTTCTGGCCCACAGACCCATAGCAATTAAATATGGAGAAGAGAAACTAGGGAAGTAGCAGGAGTAAGGAGAGACTTTAAAGTGACAAGCACAGGCACCTGTGGCAGAACAACCAGAAGCACTGAGGCCTGGTTCTCTTTATCAATCCATTCCACACTCTTTCTTTTTTCTTTTTCTTTTCTTTCATTATTTTGCCAGATCTGGGGCTTGAGCTCATGGCCTGGACGCTGTCCCTGAGCTGCCTTTCTCAAGGCTAGCGCTCTACCACTTGAGCCTCAGCGCCACTTCTGGCTTTTTCCGTATATGTGGTATTGAGGAATCAAACCCGGGGCTTTATGCATGCTAGGCAAGCACTCTATCACTAAACCACATTCCCAGCCCTTATTAAGACAGTTTTAAAAAATCCTTTTGGGAAAGCTCTCTAAGAACAGACAGAATGAAAAAGCAAAGCTTTTTTTTTTTATTATTACAGGAACTTTTCAAGCACATAGTAGTAAAATAGTAAAAGTGTTAACTACCCATCATCCAGCCTCAGCAATTATGAATATTTACCAATCTTAAAAATCTATTCTTAGCCAGGCACCAGTAGATCACACCTGTAATCCTAGCTACTCAGGAAACTGAGGTCTGAGGATATGGTTCAAAGCCAGTCCAGGTAGGAAAGTCCATGAGACTCTTATCTCCAATTAACCACCAGAACACTGGAAGTGGCGCTGTGGCTCAAGTGGTAGAACGCTTGCCTTGAGCTGAAGAGCTGAAGGACAGCGTCCAGGCCCAGAGTTCAAGCCTCATGACTGACCAAAAAGAAAAAAGATTAAAAGTGAAAGAAAAATCAAGTCCAGGAGGTCCAACATTTGAATAAGAGGAGGCCTTTGAAAAAAGAACATTGATATACAAATCAGTGCCAGGAGAGTCAGCCAGAGTGGAGAGAAAATGCACAAATAAGGGATAATTCTCTTTAAAAGAAAACTTGTAAACTTATTCGTCCTTAAATTGTGTAGGTGTGTAACCAGTAAATACAAACTAATTTTAAATGTAAAGGTATAATACATTAATAGAGGAATTACAGGGGAGTAATAAGGATATTAGCAGGTCTGTCTGTCTGGTGGAGACAGCCGTCGGTGCTGTCGGTGGATCTCGTGTGTCTTGTGAGCTGGGACACTGGCTGCCTCTGGTGTGGACCATCTTCTAAAGCACCTTTATAAAGCAGACACCCTAGAAGATATAGAACTTCCCTCTAAAGCAAAGGGCCTGTCTGGAAAGACTCGGGTCTCCTGGCTCAGAGCACCTTTCCAGTCCTACAACCCTGGCCGCACCGTACAGTCGGCACTCCTCGGGTCTCCCCGTGAGAGCAGGGATGGAGATCCGGGGCGCCACTGCCGCCAGCTAGGCACGTCTTCAGCCTCACCTATGACACGGAGCCTCCATCTTTCCTCAGCACCCACGAGACTGTGGCTCAGTTCTCAACCCTTCACAGTTCTGGAGGGAGCCTAGGACTTGGCCTCAGTCTTTGCTCTCCAGCAGGCTGAGGAACCCAGTGTTGTATTCCAAAATGGTTGGAGCTCATGGCATCAAGCTTTGACAGATTCATATGAAATACAGACGAGGGGTCACTTCTCAACTTCCTCTATGAGGCCACGGTTAGCCTGATACTAAAACTAGACTGAGATATTGAAGAAAAGAAAGATAAATACCTTTGAGAATATAAATGCAAAGTCTTCCCTCAAATACCAGCAAACAATCCAACAGCACTCAAGAAATTCATACATCAAGACAAATCAGGATTTATCCCAAAAATTCAAGGTCGACTTGTCCACTGAAAATTAAATCAATGCCACACATTATATTAACAAAGAAAAGGACAAAATCCAACAGTCATATTAATAGATGCAAAGAAAGGACTTGACACAATCCATCACCTCCTCATAATATACTCAGCATAAAAGAAATAGGGGATGGCTTTCTGAACCTGACAGAGGGTATCTGTGAGAAATCTACAGCTAACATCAGGTTTAGTGACAAAAGACCAAAAGATTCACCCTGAAGGCTTAGGAACAAGACAAATTATATACTTTTGTCACTTCAGCATTGTTCTCAAGTTCTACTCATGGCAATTAAAAAATAAAAAGAAATTACAAGGTATTCAGGTTCGATTCCTCAGCACCACATAAGAAAAAAGCCCGAAGTGGCGCTGTGGCTCAAGTGGTAGAGCGCTAGTCTTGAGCTGAAGAGCTGAGGAACAGTGCCCAGGCCCAGAGTTCAGGCCCCATGACCAGACCCAAAAACAAAAAAGAAATGGCCAAGTGCTCAACATAGTCAGCTGTTCAGGAAACAGCCAAAACCACTGTGAGAGAGTTCTTCCTACCCTGGGGGGAGCCACACGAAGCTGGAGAGCAGGAAGTGTCAACCAAGTGGAGAACCCGCCCCTTCCTGTGCTGGTGGCCACTGCAGATATGCAGCTGCTGAGAAAAGCAGTCTGGCGCTTCCTCAGAAGGCGGACCTGGCCTGCGCACCGGAGCTGGCCTGCGCACCGGAGCTGGCCTGCGCACTGGCGCACGTGCGTTCTGTCTCATGCACATGTTCTCACCTCAGCCATGTGCACATGGTGGGAGGTTCTTGGGTGAGAAAAAGGAAGGACTTGCCGCCGTGTGAACAAGCCGTGGGGAGACGATCTGAGGGTGACAGTTCCTCTTCCTGCTGGCATGAAGTGTCCACACACGGCCAACGCAGGCACACGCGGTGGACCAGGGACAGCGGGAGCAGGAAACGTGAGAAAGTGTCACGTGTTCTTGCTGCAGTATTTATTGAGGGGTGATGATAATATTTGGAAATTAGGTGGACACAGGGGCCGTGATCACATCTTTGTGACTCTTTGCTGAAAGCTGCTGGATTATATAGGCTTTAAAAGGTAACGTGATGTATACATTATACATCAATAATGCTGTTTTTCAAAGAGAGGGCCGTGCCCCTCCCTCTGCTCCCTGGCTGTGGGCTGCCACGGTGAGAATTCAGCAGAGCTGTCCGAGCTGTCTGCAGGAGGCCAGTATTTGCCTGGAAGAGGCAGAAACAGCTCAGGCCAAGTCATGGGCCTCTCAAGAGAGAAGAGCAGGGGCTGAGGACGCCTAGCGGCAGGAGCTTGTTACTCCCGCTCTGAGAACCCAGCAAGAGTTCTGTGACCAGGGCAAGCCAGGCCGTGGCCATGGGCATCCTGGCCATCCCGCAGTGGACTGAGCACAGAGCTTCCCGCCAGGTCCCCCCAGCATCGCCACAAACTCAGGAAGAGCATCAGCCCCCACCTGCTCCATCCGCTGCATCTTCCCCCGGGCTTCAGGTTTTGTTCTGTCCCCTAGCTCTCTCCCACAGCACCACAGCCTGGCAGTACACTGGCCTGTGTGCCCTACACGGGCCAGTCGGAGGCGCAGGCCTGCTGGACACCCAGCCCCACACTGGCGGGCCAGCTGGCCTTGGCTGCAGACACGAGGCTCCCCCGGAGTCTGCACATAGACCTCTCTGTGTTCAAGCCCCCGCCATTTTCATCGGCTGCCCATGGCCGCCATTCAGCAGCACTTCCGCCAGCCCAGCCCACATCCACTCTTTGTGGCTAAAGGGGCCATCGCCAGCCAAGTTCAGAAGAATTGAATATGAGAAATCCTAACAGCAAAGAGCGGCGGTGTGATCCTAGCCACATGGGGGCGCCCCAGGAGGGTTGAGGTTCTAGGCCAGCCTGGGCAAGAAGTTCACAGGATTCCACCGCAGCCAGTAGAAATCTGGGGGCCCCTGGCACCCCAGATACGAGGGAAGCATTCACATGAGGATCGTTACTCTGGGCCAAAGCAAAATCTTACTCTGAAAATGTTTTCCACCATCAAAAGAGCAGCCCAGACCAGAGCACGAAGAAGAACTTCACAGCAAAAGGAACAGGCCCAGCAGACTCGGCACCCAGTCCCTGCGGCCGGGCCTCCTGTGTGTCCTGTGCCGCTGAGTCAGGACTGCGCTCCAGAGCCCCGCCCAGTGCCCTTGGGAGGCGGTGGGCCGTTAGAGGCCGGGCCTTGTGGGGAGGGGGAAGTGAGGTCCCTGGGATGTCTTCCAAGGGAACCCAGCCTCTCCCGCAGCCAGGTGGTGAGCAGCTCTGCCCTGCTGCCGCCCCGCGGGCTGGCAGTCAAAGGGCCAGCCTGAGATGGAGCCCCCAAAGCGAAGGAACCAACCAACGGGGGCTGGAACCGCAGATCCACCGCAAGCTCCAAGAAGCTTTGTCTCCAGGCGCTCTGTCACGGTGACACAGAGCAAGTCCCCGTGGCCACCATGCCCTGCCCTCCCGCACTGGAAGTGAGGAGCTGAGGCGGAGCTGGGTGGACTGCAGCAGAGGGGGCCCTGCGGGCCAGGAGGGGAGAGGCAGGCCCGTGTGGGCCGGGCCCCTCTTGCCTCAAGGACTGAGGAGGTCAGAGCGCAGCGTGAGGTGGCTGCCGAAGGACCCGAGACCAGCGCCTCCCGCAGAGGCCCGTCCCGCAGAGGCCCCGTCCCGCAGAGGCCCGTCCCGCAGAGGAGCCTGCGCCTGGCAGAAGCTACGCGGTCCCTGCGGCGGGCAGAGGGGGCTAGGAAGGGACGGCGGGACCTCCACCGCGAGTGGGCAGAGTGCGCGGAGGCCAGTGAAGCTGGGGGCTCAGACTCCCTTCTGCCACAGACAGGCATCGAGGGGCGCTGGTTCCGGGACCCCTGAGGAAAAACCCCTGTGCCCAGTCCCCTGTGTAACATAACAGCACTGCCACCAAACCTGCGCTGAGACACTGCTCGGGAAACATCGGTGCAGACGGCCTTCTCCACCCAGGCCGGCATCGCGCCCAGACGCAGGGAAAAGACGCAGAGGCGCACCGTCCCCCCTGACATCCCTGCTTCCACCACAGAGCCAGGCTGCCACTGCGCAGAGAAGCCTTTGCCTCCTTCAGTTGAGCGCTCCGCTGCAGGCCACACGTGTCCTCCGGGGTGGGGTAATTAATTGGAAACAGCTTGGAGATGGGGATGGAGGGTGAAAAACAGACTTGAAAGGAGCCTGGGTCCCTGGAGACTCCAGACCTGGCGCCCAGGCTGCCTCTCCAGCCAGCCCCCCTCACCCCCCACCGCCCGCCCCGTGCGATCAGGTGGGCACAGGCACGCGGCACTGGCTGGCTCTCCGTGAGTGTGGACACACTGGAAGCTTGGAAGGGAAATGAGTGGAAAGGAAGCTGGGGCGGGGGCAAAGCCCTACTTCAGAGACCCTATTGCAAATGATCACATTGTGAACTGAAGTCTCTACGTACAAATTTTGGTTTAAATAACTCTTGTACTGCTGCCACCTGCTGGCCACAAAATGCAGTAGGCTAGAGTTTCAGGTCCTCCATGTTTTAAATCTGTACTTCCTTTTCATTCTCTTTGAACCAGTCCTAGGACTTGAATCGGGGCCTGGGCATGGCCCTGAGCCTTTTTGCTCAAGGATAGTATCTACCACTTAAACTACAACTCTACTTCTGGCTTCTTACTGGTTCATTGGAAATGAAAGTCTCACGGAGTTTCCTGCCCTGGCTGGCTTTGAACCAGGGTCTCAGATCCCAGCCTCCTCAGTAGCTAGGATGACAGGCGTGAGCCACCTGAGCCACAGGAAGGCCTCCTCACTAGTAGTCATTTAATATGCTCAACTAATTGTCAACCATTATCACGCTATTGTGCAAAAGGGTCTCATTTTGTGGAGGCCAAGTTTCTGAGCTATAGAAGGGATCTTTGCTGAGAAAATTCTTATTGTTACTAAAAAATGTTTTAGTCTAAAATTAACATTGTTATAAAAAATCATTGCATAGGAGTTTAGGGTTATGTTTCAGTTTTCTAACATGAAAATATTTTGGAAAAATCACAATTTTGTTATCTTACAAAGATGAAGCGCGCAGTATCTTACATTTTAAAGACCTCTATAGGCAGAAACCTGATTTTGGAGAAAGCGCCTGCTTCTCCTCCCTGCCCCTGGTTTGTCCATGGTCCCCCATGGCGTGCCACCCCTGCTCCCCCGGGACCTGCCCCATTACTCTGTGGAAGCCGTGTGACCAGCACAGAAATACAGAGTGTGTGGATGTGCCCACCCTGCCGGGCACTGCCCACCCCAAGCACTGCCCACCCGCCAGGTGCTGCACCCCGCCAGGCGCTGCCCACCCCAAGCACTGCCCACCCGCCAGGCACTGCACTCCGCCGGGAACTGCCCACCCGCCAGGCGCTGCCCACCCCAAGCACTGCCCACCCACCAGGCGCTGCACCCCGCCGGACACTGCCCACCCGCTGGGCGCTGCCCACCCGCTGGGCGCTGCCCACCCCAAGCACTGCCCACCCGCCAGGCACTGCACCCCGCCAGACGCTGCCCACCCCGCCAGATGCTGCACCCCGCTAGACGCTG